TTCTCTATCCTTGTTTCACCTCATTTCTTCAAAGTTTTTCATGCCTCTGTCTGTGTGCCTGGGTACAGGTGTCTTAGTTAATCTGAGTTTGTTTCAAACAGAACCTGAAAACCAGTCAGGCAAGACCTATGGGACTGGGGAGTCTTCAACTTGAAGAGGACTTTACGTGCACATACGGTACACATTCCTGTGCACACAAACAAAACTCTACAACCCATACTCTTCCCAAATCTGCATGTTGAAACTTTGACCATTTGTGAAAATATGCAAAAGCCTCATCTTTTCACCGTTATTTTTGCATGGACACTTTGATTGTTTCAAACATTAAAACCACACTGCTGCTGTCATCCTGTATGACTCACCTCCCTCCCCCTTTCTCTGCCTTACATGCCATATGTAATAAGGCAGAAATGGCATTAAAATGTATCCATTATCTTTGTGCTGCCAACTTTAATTTAAATAGATTGTAAATAATTTTACATTATTAAACACATTTCTTTTTTAGCACATTGACAGGATGGAGGACGTAACAGAGAAGACAAGACAACATAGACATTTACAAAGGAGACACGGTGGGGGGTTACATTTGTTTATTGTGTATGAGGGTATGTAGCATGGGTGTGTTCAACTCGACACAGTCTGGTATTCAGTATATATTGAAGAAAGATAAGAATTTAATAAAGTAGATTAATAAATTAGATTAATGAGGAATAAATTGGAGGTGGGGTGGAAGTAAATTAACAGGAAAACGGAGTTGGTTGGTGTGAGGATTTAAATCAACAAATAACGAAGACTGGGAGTGTGCTGATGATGTTTCTGCTCTTAACCACTGGGTTAAAATATATAGTGAGGAACAGAAGTATTTGAACACCCTGCGATTTTGCAAGTTCTCCCACTTAGAAATCATGGAGGGGTCTGAAATTCACATTGTAGGTGCATTCTTCGGGTCGTTGTCATGTTGGAAGACCCAGCCACGACCCATCTTCAATGCTCTGACTGAGGGAAGGAGGTTGTTGCTCAAAATCTCACAATAAATGGCCCCATTCATCCTCTCCTTAATACAGTGCAGACGTCCTGTCCCCTTCGCAGAAAAGCACCCCCAAAGCATGATGTTACTACCCCCATGCTTCACAGTAGGGATGGTGTTCTTGGGATGCAACTCATCCTTCTTTTTCCTCCCAACACGACGAGTGAAGTTTAGACCAAAAAGTTCTACTTTGGTCTCATCTGACCACATGACTTTCTCCCATGCCTCCTCTGGATCATCCAGATGGTCTTTGGCAAACTTCAGACGGGCCTGGACATGTGATGACTTGAGCAGGGGAACCTTCTGTGCAATGCATGATTTGAAACCATGACGGCGTAGTGTTCTACCGACAGTGACCTTTGAAATTGTGGTCCCAGCTCTCTTCATGTCATTGACCAGCTCCTCCCTATCGTTCTGGGCTGATTCCTCACCTTTCTTATAATCAGTGATACCTCACGAGGTGAGCTCTTGCATGGCGTCCCAGTCCGAGGGAGACTGACAGTCGTCTTTAGCCTCTTCCATTTTCTAACAATTGCTCCAACAGTTGATCTATTTTCACCAAGCTGCTTGGCAATTGCCCCGTAGCCCTTTCCAGCCTTGTGGAGGTCCATAATTTTGTCTCTGGTGTCTTTTGACAGCTCTTTGGTCTTGCCCATGGTAGTAGTTGGCGTCTGACTGACTGTGGGGTGGACAGGTGTCTTTAAAGAGCTCAGACAGGTGCTACTAATTTAGATTAATGAGTGGAGTAGAGGTGGACTTTTTCAAGGCACAGTAACAGGTCTTTGAGAGCCAGAATTCTTGCTGTTTCTCAGGTGTTCAAATACTTATGTTCAGCAGTGCAAGACAAATAAATTCTTTAAAAATCATACAATGTGATTTCCTGAATTTTTTTTTCTTAATTCTGTCTCTCAGAGTGGGAATGCACCTACAATGTGAATTTCAGATCCCTCCATGATTTTTAAGTGGGAGAACATGCAAAATCGCAGGGTGTTCAAATACTTCTGTTCCTCACTGTAGCCTTTATCTTGTGCTGTCAACTCTATTTTAAATCGACTGTAACAATATTAAACATGGCATTGCTAGGGCCATTTCATTTTCAGATTCCCCTGAACCAAATAATTCTATATTCAGAGTAATCAATCAAGCACTGTGGCCTATTTAAGTATTTCTTGCCTTCTCAAGGGCATGTTAAAGACAACTGTGCTCTGTAATTTGTTTGCTTTAAGTTGTCAATGTGTTTTGGATACATTTGCGTGATGAGTTAACATGGCAGAAAGGGTGCAAGGCTGAATGGATGAACACTAAAAGAATAAGGGTAATGTTATTTGATGTATTTTTTTGTTGTCAACAAATCCCATATAAAGCCCCAAACCTGGCTGTCTTACCACATTTGCACCCTGCGTTTAACCCCAAGCCTATTGGTTTTTATGATTATACAAACAGTATAATTTATGTGCACTGTAAGTGGATCAGTTTAATGTTGGTTTTGGTCTGGTCATGGGACTTGCTCACAATTAGAACATAAAAAACTGTGCATATTACACTGTATATATTACAAGTCTCATACTTTAAATGAAAATCCTTGTTTCAGTGCCCTGTGCGGTTGACACCCACCCACTGGTGGACTCGGTGGAGGGGGGTGCCTGGTGCCCCCAAAGACAAAAAGAGGTGGTTGTATCAAGAAGAATAAATAGCAGAGTTCTGCAATGGCTGTCTAAGCTCTGAGTGAATCAGGATGAAATGCCCTTTAAAGCACCCCTACAAGAGAAAAGCAAAGTACACTTTAAATGACAATGAATTGCGTTGCAATGGGGTGAGGTTGAGGTCGTGTATGGGTGTCCTTGTAGTGGGGAAAAAATAGGAAAAGTGACATTTAACATTCCTCCAAATCTTGCATACTAAAGTACAAACTGGGTGTCCTTTTAGTGAGAGAGAACAAAAACAATCAGGCACTCTCAGGTGAGAAAACATGAATCAAGCCCTTTCAGTGTGCCAAAAACAAAGTGAAGTGATCTACAGGGTGCAACGCATAAGAGAAAAACATTGTGAAGTGCCCGTGAAAATGCCCTTACTATGGTGTAACCTTGTCATTAAGGTAAAAATGTTTGTGTCCGTTGTGTACAAAAATAACACACCCTTAAAAAACATTTTGCGTTTGTTTTACTCAACATCATCCCATTCCAGTGATTTTGGTACAGCACTAGTTTAGTTTTAGTAGCCCCACTAATACACATGCAGACCAAAAGCAGTGAAACCATTCTTGACAAAGGCGAGAGGGCTTGTGCAGATCTAGTGCTGTATGTCAGTGTTGTTCAGCTCTGCTTCTGGAGGCACACTGTGCAACATGTTTTCCATCTTTTCCTGCTCTACTACACCTCCTAATGACCTTCAGGTTTACTAAATCAGGTGTATTGAGCATATCAGGAGTGATTTGCAATGATTTGTAGCAGGCGTCCTGCGGCAGGGAGAGATGGAAAACATGTTTGATGGTGTGCCTCCAAGCCGAGGACTGAAAAACACTGCTGTGTGACATTAAAAAATTACATTATGAAGGAGTTAAAGAATTATTTGCTCCATCATAGAGGTGTTGTTTTCTTTGTATTCTCAATCAACCTATAAATTGTTAATTGGCGATGTAGCCTTTTTACCAAACCTTCATCGCTATTCTCTGCAGATGGGAGCCCACTGAATGTATCAGGTGCTCTATATATTTGTTTATATTGCGCCCCTGCCCCTTAGATAGCCCGCTGATACCCCCATTAGGTTTGGAAAAAGTCCACACTTTCTCTATTCCAGACAGAAACTGATAAAATAGATCCCCTATGTGCTCTTTTTAGCTTCAAACGAGCCCATTATTAGAAAGTGAAGCGGTGTTGGAGGGTGTTGTGACCACTTGAGCACACTTTAAAATGTGAATAAAAGTGCTTTTCATTCATATTTGATGACTTTCTATGAACTTGCAGCTGGAGCAGTATAACTTAATGAGGTATCGGGATGAGAATGAATATGTAATAATCCTGTCACCCTTACAGGTCAGAACGCCTTTGATCACCTTGTCTGGTTTTGGAGAAGGGAAAAAAACTTGAGATTGGAACTGGTGGGGCAGGGATTCATGCTCGCTCTTTTTACACACACCCTAAAATGTAACCCATATCAATTAAGAGAATCCATTGGGTCAAAATCTATTTACATCACTTTTGATCATCTCACATTAAAACCACACAAAGTGGCGTATGCAGTGGTGCCCCTGAATCTGAGGCCAAAGCAAAAATGCTCTTATAATAGGGTCTTATTGGATGTGAGCTTGTTTACTTTTACACCTTTGAACCTGTCATAGACTGCACAAAGGGCACCGCTTTTTCCTCATACAACCTGACTGTGACCTGACTATGTTGTCTTTTTTTCATTTTTATCCCCCTTGGGTTCTACATTACTTCATGATTCTGCCTCATAGTGTTCTCAGCACAAAAATTAATTAAATTGTAACTTAATTTAACTTTTGTTTAACCAGGGAAGGTCCCTAGAGGTTTGCAACCTTTTTTTGTTACAAGGGCACCTTGGCAAAACAGTGGCATGACTTTTTCTTATTTTTTAAAACTTGTTTTCTAGCAGCATGAAAGGTATATTGGCTGTCTACAGTCTACAGAGAAAGGAAACAGTCTTTCCCACAGAGAAGTGTTCAAATGCAATGTGTAACATGGTGTTTTGATGGGTCAGACTTCAACTAAAGATGCACTTTTATGGACTAATCAATTTTTTTGATTATTTGATTAATCAAATCCAACATAAAAAATAAAATACCAATAATTAAGAAGCATCCGTCAGCAATACAAATTTTTAAAAGCCCAACATAAATTTAACCCAACATAAAAAGTGCAAAGAAAGTGATTTTGCCATTAATTTCCTTGTCTGACCAGCATATTTGCAAATTGAATACAGCGTGTTTATGTGCATATAGGCCTATAAGAAGTACAGACCAGCAATTTGTGAGGCCACTGTGACACATAATATATTCCCTGAAGATTTTTTCTAAGAAGTGTTACGTGACTGCAGTGCTGGGAGAAAAATTTTGGCTGGTTGTAAGTCAGCCTTACACATTTTACACGTGTGCTCTAGAGTCTAGCTAGCTAGCTTTCTAGATAGCTTGGTA